CGTGCGTTGGAGTCTTGCGTGGGGAGCTGCGTTGTGCCATCTTGCTCCCCCTTCTTCCTCCATCTCCATCTCCGTCACTAGCGGAGCACCACACTTGGTGGGTCCGCTACAAAGGATGATAGCTTTGATAATTGGGAGGCTAGTATTAATACATGTCTATCTACAGCACATCGCCCCAGAGGAACAAGTCCTCATAGCCTTCCATGCATTGAAGGAAGAAGCGGCCAGCTTCGCCAGGTCCCTTGCGCGCGCAGCCGATTGCGAGCACAACATGGTTGCGTACTCTAGATTAACCCCTCTCTCCACTTTCCTCAAACTCCTGCGAGAGAGGTTTGCTGACGTCACAACGGGCGTCATGGCCTCTGACAAATTGCAGACCATCCACTCTCGACAGTGGAGGAGTGCACGAGCACTCAAAGCTGTCATGGACGACCTAGTAGCCGTCCCAGACCACGGGGTCACTGAGACTCAGTTGGTCCAATTATTTTATCGTGCCATGCCAGAGCCCTTGCGAGGGCATTTCTTTGACAAGACGCAATAGGCCAACCTAACGTACAATGCGTTAAGTTGAGAAGTGGTCCTGTTTGAGGCCAAGTCCATGCCCGTTTCCACTTTCTGGCATAAGGACTTAGATAAGGGCAAAAGGTGGAAAGGTCGTACCATCTCTGGCCAGGTTAGGGCTAAGGATCATTTGATCCTTACTTTAGATGAGGGTGGTACAGACGAGGTCCCCTACAGTCAGATCGAGTGGGGGCTGGATGAGGAGGACAGTAGTGTAGGCCAGGGGAGGACCTATGCTGCTGTCGCGGCTGGAGGGAGGCTGCAAGGTAGAGGAGGAGGCCAGGGCCAAAGGGGCCAGGCCACGGGCGGCTGAGGACCGGGCGCACAGGGGGTTGGCGGCCAAAGGAACCGCCAAGAAGGAGGTAGGGGTCAAGGTCCCCCGTCAAATCGTTAAGGTCCCAGTCAGTACCCGCAGCGACGAGGTGGAGGATCACCTCAGAGGAGAGGAGGTTGGCACCCAGGTTGGCCACAAGGCTGGCCTTGCGAAGATCTGGGCCTGGGCCAGAGAGTATGGCAGCAACGTATGGAGCAGGGGCAGTGCATTTATTGCGGTGACCCTGCCCATATTATTAAATATTGACCCTGCCCATATTATTAAATATTGTCCCAAGTATAGACAGGCCCGGTGGGCTGCCTTGGAATCAAAAGGCAGCCGCCGGCAGGGGTTGCAACTGCCCCTACTACTAGGCCATGCGGGGAAGCGAGCGCGCACAAACAGGAAACTCCCACACCACATGACCCTTCGGCAGAGGTTGCAGGCCAGTGCCTAGTTAGCTGTTCAGAGACTGCCTGTGTTAGCGTCTCTCTAGGCACTTCCCTCACAGGCGTGGCAGAAGAGTTGCCTGGGCCAAAATGAAGAAAGATAGTAAAGGACAGCTAGTGTTAGTTGACGTAGAGGTTTTTAGAAGTAGAGTGGGGGCCCTTATAGATTCAGGGGCTACTAGTAGCTATATTAGCCGCAAAGCGTTGAAGAAGCTGAGGCTAGGGTTAGAAGTCCAGAAGTTGGAAGACCCCATAGTTAGTGTCCTCGCAGACAACCGCACTATGCGTGTTGAGGACTACGTAGAGGGAGTCCAGGCATATTTTCGCCTAGAGAAAAATGGGAAGGTGGAGAAAGTTCTCCATTTCCCAACTCTCCTCGTACAAGATGATCTTCCTTTCGACATAGTCCTAGGTATGGACTGGGGAGAGGCAGCATGGGCCACACTCCACTTGAGAGAGCATGAGTGTAGGCTCCCTAGTCCATCAGGCGAGGTTGAGACTGCCCGCTTGTTTCATGTGTCAGGAGTAGAGAACTCCTTGGCACATTGTTGTCTCAGTGCTCCCGAGTTCGCGCGATTAGTTAAAAAGGAGCAGTTAGAGGAGCAGGTCTTCGTAGCTTATGTGAGGCCTGTCAGTGAGCCTAAGGAAGAGGAGCCCATAGACCCAGCTATTGCCAAGCTGCTGGAAGAGTTCAAAGACCTTGCAGAGTCACCGTCAGGGGTAGTGTCGCGACTGATCCAGCACAGGATAGAGATAGAGCCTGGTAGTAGAACTCCTAAGGGAGCAGTTTACAGGATGTCCCCTAGGGAGTTAGAGGAGCTGCGTAAGCAGCTAGACGAGCCCCTCAAAAAGGGTTGGATTAGACCCAGTTCATCTCCTTTTGGAGCACCAGTACTATTTGTCCCCAAAAAGGAAGGAGAATTGCGTATGTGTATAGACTATAGGGGTCTAAATGCGATCACAGTAAAGAACGGTGAGCCACTGCCTAGGATAGATGATCTTTTAGATCGAGTGCAGGGCTGCAGATATTTTTCGAAGATCAATTTAAAGTCCGGATATCATCAGATAGAGGTTCTTCTGATGACCAGTACAAGACTGCATTATGGACTAGATATGGGCATTATGAGTTTATAGTGATGCCCTTTGGACTACCCAACGCGCATGCCACATTCCAACGCTGTATGAATGACCTGTTTAGGTCGTGGCTAGATAGATTTGTCGTAGTATATTTAGACGACATCTTAGTGTTCGGTAGGACCCTCCAAGAGCATCAGGGTCATTTGAGGCAGGTCTTGGAGAAGCTAAGAGAGGCTAACTTTAAGATCAATGCGAAGAAGTGCGAGTGGGCCAAGACACAAGTCCTGTACTTGGGCCACGTCTTAGACGGAGATGGCATTAAGCCTGAGGACGGTAAGATAACGACGATTAGAGATTGGCCGACGCCCCGCACATTGACTGAGTTGCGGTCGTTCCTAGGCTTGGCTAACTACTGTAGAAAGTTCGTGAGGAACTTCTCGACTATCGCCGCTCCCCTCCTCACGTTGCTCAAGCAAGAGGCAATCTGGTAGTGGGATAAAAATTGTACATCTGCGCTAAAGAAGTTAAAGCGCGCATTGATAGTGTACCCTGTCCTCAAAGTAGCAGATCTGTCCTTGCCATTTGTCGTCACCACGGACGCCGGTCAGTATGATATAGGTGCCATGTTACAGCAGAACGACGACAACGGCTACAGACCCGTAGAGTTCATGTCAACGAGTATGCCCTCAGAGAAGGTCGCTACCTCGGCGTACGAGAGGGAACTCTACGCTTTGAGGCAGGCCTTAGACCACTGGAAGCATTACCTGCTTGGGAGGCACTTCAAGGTGTATTCAGACCACGAGACTCTTAGGCGGTTGAAGACACAAGCCAAGATGACACCTAAGTTGACTAGGTGGACCGCTAAGATAGACCAGTATGACTTTGAGCTCAAGCCTGTCAAAGGCAAGTACAATGTAGTTGCGGATGCTCTAAGTAGGAGATCAGACTACTTTGGAGCTATAGTTCACTATCTGGACATAGGGAGTGACCTGCAGGAGAAAGTTAGACAGGCGTATGCGCAGGACCTTATTTATAGCGACCTCCTCGAGAGAGTCAAGGAGGCCCCAGAGAGTGAACCAGATTACAGCACTACAGAGGGGTTGTTATTTGAGAAGACCAATGTCGTAGACCGTCTGTGCGCTCCCAACAGCGAGGAGATCCGTAGTCTGATCCTAGGGGAATGCCACGATACAGAGGGACACTTCGGTTGGCAAAAAACTTTAGCCAACCTGATGCATGCATATACGTGGCCAGGAATGAATAACGACTGCATAGAGTACGTCCGCAGTTGTAAAGTTTGCCGAAGAAATAAGACCACTACCCGTGCCCCTCTAGGTCTTCTCATACCCTTGCCTATTTGTGATGAGCCAGGAGATTCAGTGTCCATTGACTTTATGGACGCCGACGTCAAGAGCAAGCACGACAAGAGCCAAGTCATGGTCATAGTTGATAGATTTAGCAAGTATGCAGTTTTTATTCCTTTGGCTGCAGAGGCACGCACTGAATTAGTTATTCAAAAGTTTTTTGATTTCTGGGTTAGTGAGCATGGCGTCCCATTGTCTATTGTTTGTGATAGAGATACTCGCTTCACGAGTCAGAACTGGCAAGAATTGATGAGAGTCTATGGGTTAAAGTTGTTGATGTCATCTGGCCGTCACCCAGAGACTAACGGTCAGACTGGTCTGCAGCAAGTTCTGCGTATGTTCATTAGACCAGATCAAGTCAATTGGGACGAGATGTTGCCCAAGGTAGCCAGTGCGTACAATAACAGTGTGCACTTGTCCACCTGTCGCACTCCCAATGAGTTGCACAAGTCCTTTAGACCGCGTAGACCATTTGAAGGACTTAACCGGGGTCAGATTCACAGGCTACCACCCGGTACCAGGGAGTTCGCGATACAGCACGAGAAAGAGTTAGCTACTGTTGTTAGAAGGGATCCGGGCTGCGGGTAGTCTTGGATGAAAATATGTTCGCGGGTAGTCCTGGATGAAAATATGTTCGATGGGAAAGCGCTAGCGCCTTGCGACCCACGGACGGCTAAGCCCGCCCGCCAGGACCCGCATGAGCCCGGTGGATATGGTTGTAGGATATATGCGCCTGCGCCATCGCTATGTGGCTTGAGCATATTCTGCCCCGCGGTTGCATTGCGACCAAAGTGGAACCCCCACATCGAGGTAGATCATGTATTGACGCCAGTGCAAACCAAGTGCGACGACGGTGAGCCGAAGGCCTTCGATGCAGAAGGAATGGAGTGGAGAAACAGGGAGTGATGGGAGTTGGAATGCAAGCCACTAGGGAGAGGAGAGAAAGTCGGCACTGCAAAGAGAAGGACAGACACTTCAGCCAAACGATACTGACTTCAGGAGTGACCCATGACGATACAGACGTTGATCACGTCCCGACAAGAACGAGAGTAAGGCGAGAACACTGAGGATGCCGCCAGGGAAGACAAAGGATAAAGGGCGAGGGCAAGGAGGAAGAACGATCACAACGTGGGGAAGGACTTTTGGACAACAGGTGGGATAATAGGCAAGGAGAGTGAGAGAGGGATGCGCAAAACGAGTGGGAGGTCGACGGGCCGGGTGGAAAGAGATGACACGAAGAAGGATGTCGAAGACCGAAGCTGATCAGGCGACTTGGCTACGACAAGACAGGAGCAAGAACACTCGGTGAAATCCCCCGCCTCGCCCACCTCGCCTTGCTTCCTC